CCTGGGTAGAGAATGAATAAATGTGACTTGAGGTTACTTCGCAAGAACACACACACGCTCTTTCATATCTGACCTGCTTCAGAATATATCGCCATGTTGGATTGTCAGTGACACCTAGCTAATTTTAAAAAGAAAAAACTTAATAATAAACTTCAAACTTCATTATACATTTCAAAGGATTACGGCCTACATTGCCTTTTGCCATTAACACAGGCTACTTTCTCTCCTCACACACACACACACTGACAGATCTAATTTTTCTATCTCTTATAGAGTGGATCTTGCTGTATGAGCACATTTTTTGTCTTGGGGTGGATAGCATTTTTCCAGCTCAGTGCCCAGTGCTGTGAATGCCCATGTCTCAGCACTGTAGCACGACTGCAAGCCACTATCGTCCAAGGTCAAACTGATTATTCCCACTGGGAAGCATCTGTCCCATCGGAGACCAACCATGGTGCATGTGTGTACAACATTAAGAGCAGAGAGGACACTGAGAAGGAGGCTTGGATGCTGGTGGCCCTTTAATCATGTCTTTATTAGAGCTGTTTGCTTATACTGTACTTTGGGTTAGGGATAGCCCTAAGAATTCAAATGTTACCTCTGTGCTAAGGACATGAATTCATGGTGCATTCAAGTCCTCTTGGAAAGTTAATATTTACGAGTTGGGAAGTCACAATTATGACATTAGGTGCGTTCTAGTCACTTTGGTCGGAGCAAGATGGCGATGTACCATTTCTGTGTAAAATTCAACAAGATTTGTATCTCTACATATACAAAATTATGAATAAAGAATGCACATCAGGTGTGTTTTTGTTTGTTTTATTCAATTTGTGAAGGTGTTGTAAATTGAATTGTTAAATATTCTATTGTGATTGTAGAATACTGTGGTATTTTGTACATGCAAACTTAAAATAGTGTTATTGTAAATGAAAAAAACATGATAATAATTTAATTAATTTTAACACATTTACCATTAATACAGATGCTGCATCCATTGCGTCCAACGTTTTCTCACTAGCCTTAAAGAAAATCCAGAGTTTCCCACGACTTTATGACTTTGTGCTGAGGTTTGTGTGTTCAACTCATAAATACAATCTTTCCGACATGACTTGAGTGTGCCATTAAGCTTAAATGCAGATTGTTGAGGAAAGGTTTGCTTTTTAACTTGCATATCTGATGCTAAAATATTAATTTACATTAAAGGAGGAATGCAAGACCAGAATAGACCAGGATATCAGTCAGCAGCGACCCAGAATCCCAGCTAACAGCAAACAATCTCAGAACTTTGGCTAACATTCTAGCAAGATTCTCTAGTCATGAACAAATATTCTTCCAGTAACATTAATAGAATGTTCATTTAAAGTTATCTGGTCTTAATGTTCTCAAAACGTTTGCACAAAAACATTATTGTTCATGGAAGGTTTTTTCCTGAAACGTTTTAGCTGGACGTTCGTCTAACATTCTTAATGTTACTACTTGTTTCAGAATGTTCAGAGAATATTCAAAAGTAGCATTTCCATGATGTTTGCCAAAATGATACAATGAAATGTTACCCTAACATTCGTAAAGAAAAAAAAATCTAAAACATTTTAAAAATGGACGCTTTGAACCATAGACTGTAAAAGAGTTGGACAATGCATCTCTACTTCCTTCCATAGAAAAGTGAAGCTAAAATATCCCAGGTATGGCCGCTGTCATCTTGCCCCAATGACATAATTTGGAGAAGTGATCATTAGCAGAAGGTGTGGTATTAAAGTCCCGCCCAAACTCCTTCAGACCCAATCACAAAAATGGAAAACAGAAAAACGAACACTTGAATAAACATCAGCATGATAATAACAACCTGAAATGATGGAAACCATCTTTGGCAAAATGTTATTTGAAGTGTAATTAATTTTTTTTTAGTTTAGATTACATTCCATTCATTTACTTGGAGAGGGGGGTTTATGACCTATACTGCAGCCGGCCACCAGGAGGCGATCGAAATGTTTTGGCTTCACTTTTCAAGAATTGTGAGGCATACTTGTTTACAACATTCTAGGAAACAAACAATTTTATAACTAAATGGGAACGTTAATGTTCTTAGAACATATTTTCATCAGCTGGAATACCATAGCAATCGCATAACAACGTTCTAAAGGTGCAGCCACGTCAGTGAAAATTCAACAAAATTTCACAGACAAAGTCCATTGTCAATAGAGTAGTGTTATGAAGCACCGCTTACATAGAAGTCACTTTCAAACCAAGCAGCTTTCTGTTGTTCAGCACAGTGAATTCACTCAACCAACTTAAACGTGAGAAAAATCTGTGTGCGTGACTTTTTCGCCCTTACGCAAAACTTGGATCGTGCACATTCCTAAAATAACTTGATTTCACTGAGCAACAGTGAACACCCTTTAACTCGAGGCCACTTCCAAACCAAGTACATTTATATTGTTAAACCCTCAAGGGGAATTTTTTTTGTGATTTCCCGCCAAATTTCACCGTACAAATGTAGGCTCTAAATGTGACCAAACCTTGACCACCCCAAAGAAACTGCATAGCAAAACAACCCACAACACACAAGCATCGTTACCTTAGAATTTAATCAAAATAACATGTCTTAGGAGGCCTACTATTCAGAACAGCCTTTGGAAAATGCCCATGATGACTGCTTAAATACTGTCACACTATGTGTTTTGGAGCAGTGGTTCCCAACCCTGGTCCTGGAGGCACCCCAACACTGCACATTTTGCTTGTCTCCTTTCTCTGACACTCCAATTTCAGGTCTTGGAGTCTCTACTAATGAGCTGATGACCTGAATCAGGTGTGTTTGATTAAGGAGACATGCAAAATGTGCAGTGTTGGGGTGCCTCCAGGACCAGGGTTGGGAACCACTGTTTTGGAGCACCGTATATACACTGAACAAAATTATAAACGCATCACTTTTGTTTTTGCCCCCATTTGTCATGAACTGAACTCAAAGATCAAAGACTTTTTCTATGTACACAAAAGGCCTATTTCTCTCAAATAGTGTTCACAAATCTGTCTAAATCTGTGTTAGTGAGCACTTCTCCTTTGCCGAGATAATCCATCCACCTAAAACAAAAGTGTTGCGTTTATAATTTTGTTCAGTATATATATAATGAGGCCCAGGTGTATGTCACATCATACGGGCCCATGAGATCACCTTGCGCATGCCTGGGGGAAACTGTTCCAGCTAAAGATGAACATGCTGGATTGATAATAGAAACACATTTCTATACGCACTATAGGTGTATCTCATCGCACAATGCCAGCAGTACTCTGTTGTCATCTTGACCTCAAGCTACTGTATAAACATATAATGACTGTGGTGGTCAGAGACCTGATCTAGGATTTATGGGGCAAGAATTATTCAAGGGAAAGAAAAGAAAAGAAAAGATGAAACTTGCTGCTTTTTAACTCGCCTCAAGCATATTATTTCTGTAAAATAACAGCAAATGCTTGCTTGGAAGATGAGCTGGTTTGACAGCTCAAGTTCCTTTTTAATAAAACAATTAATAACTTATTACCATAGTTTCCAGTGAGGAATAGATCATTCACCTTTGTATTCTACAAGGCTTTTAATATATATATATATATATATATATATATATATATATACACACAGTATATATATAGATAGATTGATAGATAGCCTACACTTTATCCTGAGATCAATTTCATTTTGACTGGAGGGGTTTGTGATTTGAGAATCATTCATGTAGATTAGGGTTGAAAACTGTGAATAATTTGTTTCACCTTTATTATACCAGCAATAATAGGGCCTCATAACATAGAGATGATCATCTAGCATTAGAGGTAATGCGTGGGCAAACAAGACGATATTCCTACAATTAGGAGGCTTGCGGTGCAAATCCGACATTGATTTTTGTCATTTCTCTTGTGGAATCATTTGTAGCGTGGGTGAACTTGAGAGAGGAAGATTATTGTGTCAAATTGTCTAATAACAACATGCGGCTCAGAGCAAATTTTTTTACATCGATAATTAAAACAAAAAAAGCGATCTAGCTATCATCTGTATTAAATGTGTGGTGCGTAAATTCAGCTGAGTATCATAATATTGACATTTTACAGTATATGGTCCTTCTGCATCTAAATGATTCCAAAGAAAAGATTTCAGGAGTAAAAATGCTATATTTTCGTTTTTTAAAGGATTTAATCTTATAGCGCAGAACAAACTGATATTTCTTACCTTGAATCAAACTGAATTCAATCAACATAGATCATAGAGAGTGCAATTCAACTGAATAAAAAAAAAAGACTTTTCTTGCTTGCGCTTCTTATTTTTAAGGCACCCAATGGTGATAGATCTTTTAATTTGTTCACCATCAGTAGGTTATATGATTCAATTATATTATTTCTTCAGTGTTATATATTACATAGGCTAAATGTTTTATAAACGTATATAGCACAGGTTTGCTGCGAAGACGCTTTAATTCCACATTATTAGACTGAGCTGCCATCTGCTGGACTGATATCACGTACACATGAGGAAAAAAACATAAGTTTTCAACTTTAAAGATGATAATCATCTGCTAGATTATATTAGTTATCATTTCTGAACTGTAACTTTGCCTCTCAGTATTTGTTCAAGTTTTAATTGCCGCTGAAATGTCTTTTTTTATGAATGCTTTCTCTAACAAGCACAGTTGCATCCAGGCCAGTAGATGGCAGTAATGTAGTCACAGAGGTGCGAGTGTTACACACTAGAGTGAAGGAAGGATTCGTTATTTTGAACCGGATCTTTTCGATGTTTCATTAGAACCGATTCGTAAAGTGAGGGCATCTATGACAGAACAATTGAGAAGTACGTGACAAATTGGAAAACGCAGATACAACATTTGACAAGAAAATTATTTAAAACACATGGAAAATGCAGAGGACATAGGGAGTTTTTTAAGCGGTGACTTTTGAGTGAATCATTTTGAGCTCGTTCACTGTAATGATTCGTCTAAAGGAGCCGAATTGCAAAATGAATCAGATTCAAATTGCAACTGTAGAACACACACAACAACACCAACTTCAAAAGTCATGAAACACCCTTGATATTTACCAGAGCGCAAACCAGAGGATTTTCACTGATGTAATGTAGTTTGTCAAATATTGAAACCTTTTACAATCTGCATATACCAACCGCATAAAAAGTAAGTGCATTTAAATGTGCAGTTTTTCTCTTGTATGTGCTGCATGTGATGCTTCAAGTGAGTTCTGTCTTGCTCGTATAATGTGTAATAATAATATCACATATGTGAGGTTGTTCTGTGTCATTGTATCGATGTGGCTGCAAAATATAAACCTCATAAATCTATCATTCATTTAAAATGCCTCAACCTGTCGATAAACGTTAGTTAAATGCCTCTTAACGTAAAATAAGAGATGCACATAGACCATAGTACATTTCATGTATTCATATACCGTGGCATTTTAATGTCACATTATCCAAAAAAACAAAACATAGTATTGTTGTTATTGCACCTACATCTTTCAGGCAAGGTCACACTTTTACACATGATCAGTCTAACATACTGTCTGAAGGGTTGTGTCTGTTTTTAGTAAGTTTTAAAGCAGTGGAGAAGGTGGAAGTGTTTTGTTGGCCTCTATCATGTAAGAGTAGAGATATATATATATATATATATATATATATATATACTATATATCTATATAATATAATATATAACTGTATAGATACAGTTGGGGTCAAAATTGTACATACACTTTGCAGTATCTGCAAAATGTTAATTATTTTACCAAAATAAAAACAAAATGCATGTTAATTTTTATTTAGTACTGACCTGAATAAGATGTTTCACATAAAAGATGTTTACATATAGCTAGTCCACAAGAGAAAATAGTAGTTAAATTTATAAAAATGACCCCGGTCATTTTCAAGCGGTCACTGATGCTCCAGAAGGAAACATGATGCATTAAGAGCCAGGGGTGTAAAATGTTAAATAGAATGAAGATGTGTACATTTTCTTATTTTGCCTAAATATCATATTTTTGTTCATTTAGTACTGCCCTTCAGAAGCTACAGAAGATACTTAAATGTTTCCCAAAAGACAAAATAAGTTAAATTTACCCTGATCTTCAAATTCAAAATGTTTTCACCTCCAGGCTCTTAATGCATCGTGTTTCCTTCTGGATCATCAGTGAGCGCTTGATCCTTTAGTAATAGTTATGTATGAGTCCCTCAGTTGTCCTCAGTCTGAAAAGATTGATCTCAAAATCATACAGTCACTGTTGGAAAGGGTACAAATGCGTAAAAGATGCTGGAAAACCAAAGAATTTGTGGGACCTGAAGGATTTTTCTGAAGAACGGCGGGCAGTTTAACTGTTCAGGATGAACAAGGGACTCATGAACAACTATCACAAAACAAAACAAAACAAGAACAGCTGTGGATCATCCAGGTAACCACACACAGTATTAAGAATCAAGCGTATGTAAACTTTTGAAAGGGGTGATTTTTATAAATTCAGCTATTATTTTCTCTTGAGGACTATATGTAAATGTCTTTTATGTGAAATATCTTTTTCAGGTCAGTACTAAATAAAAAATACCATGCATTTTGTATGATCCCTCTTATTTTGGTGAATTAATTCATATTTTGCAGATACTGCAATCACAATGTGTATGTAAAATTTTGACCCCAACTGTAGCCTGTCAATCTAATGCTGAGCTGCTCCATGCAGTTACAGAACATTTGGGCTTCGTCTCAGAATTTGGGAGCTCCCACATAGATAGCAATTCTGGACAACTGCACATTTGCAAATAGAAGGAGAGCTGAATATTCCTGGGTAGTTTTCCCTCAAATGTTCTTGATTAAAAGACATGTTTTAATAATTCAAAAAAGTAGGCTAACTTTGTTTTAGTCTTTCAGCTGAAGAGGTACGGTATGATAATTGGTCTCATTTCTTCTCCAATAGGATGCTTTCTCCAATAGCCACTTGCCCACTTCCCTCCCTGGTTCTTCCCCATATCTGCAGTTTTATGTACTTTAGAAAGTGTTCAACTCTGTGTGACATTTGTCACATGACTTTTAGTGGGATGTAATATTGGCAAATACATCATCCTTATAGCTGTGTCCTACAGGGGCTGAAACTGCTGAGAATCCTGCTGATGCATGCAATGTGTTTTTTTTTTTTTTAATCGTTGAAGTGACAAATTTTCTGTAACTGATTTTTGTTCTATTTTATTATTGTATTTTATTTTATTATATTTTATTATAGATTTCAAGGACCTTTCAAAAAAAGAATTTTAACCAAACAATTATTATTTAAATAATAAATGTAATTTTACAGGACAGGCTTTAATTTGTCTTCCTCTCGATTCCGTGTCACACATTCCGTGTCACACACATTGTTCACATAACAAAACATATGGCTTCAGAAGATTTAAAAATATAAAACTGAATATATAAACTACCATTCAAAAGTTAGGGGTCGGTAAGATTTTAAGTGTTTTTTTTTTTTTGAAAGAATCTTTTATGCTCACCAAGGTTGCATGTATTTGATAAAAATGCAGTAAAACAGTAATATTGTGAAATAATATTATAGTTTAAAACAACTTTCTATTTGAATATCTTTTAAAATATAATTTATTCCTTTGGTGGCAAAGCTGAATTTTCAGCATCATTAGCCTCAGTTTCAGTTAATTTTGAAAGCACAATTAAAAACAACCACATTTGACCAATGTGCTGTACAATGTTCTAAAAAGACTTATAAAAACATGTATATATATAAAAACCAAGCAAACAACAACAGACAACAAAGGACATCACAAGTCATAGGCTGTAGTGAAGAGATACGTTTTTAACTTTGATTTAAAATATGTAATGTTGGTACAGTTCTAATATGGATCGGTAAAGCATTCCAAAGTTTAGGTGTGGCTATGGCAAAAACTTGATCACCCCTGCATGGATTTTAATTTTGACTTTGTAACAGTTAGCAAACTCTTGTTGGCAGACCTAAAGAGTTGTCATTGGATGATGTTCACGCAACAAATCGTTACTCCAGTCTTCATTGTCACATGGCCCTTCAGAAATCATTCTAATATGCTGATTTGCTTGTTGAAAACAGTTGTGCTGCTTAATATTTTTGTGGAAACAGTCATACATTTTTTTCAGGATTCTTTGATGAATAGAAAGCTCAAAAGAACAACATTTATTTGAAATAGAAATCTTTTGTAACATTATAAATGTCATTACTGTCACTTTTGATCAATTTAATACATACTTGTAAAATAAAAGTATTATTTTTTATTAGATGTTATTATACCGTTTATCTATTTAACTCTCACTTAATCTTTAACAAGCACTAATAATTCAGTTACACTGTTAAATGTAGTCTTGTATGAAGCAAATGTCAAAAGGATATTATAACTGTGGATTATAATTATAGCGCCCAGTTTCACTTGTAACATTTAAAATGATTTATTTAAATTAATTTAGACAACATTGTCTATATCTTAATACAAAACAAGCTAAAATTAAATAAAATAAAAAATGGCCAGAATAATTCAAGCAACATAGTGCTTCTTTGAGATGTATGAATTAGTCTGATTGCACAAACAAGTTATGCAATAACATTTAATTCTTAGGGTTAGAGGATGTTGTTGCCTTAGTAAACACTCTTAATTATCTTCTCTTTTCTTTATAACCTGAAGTTTGAAATGGTGTCGTACAAGAGACTCACCCCTGAGGAAGTTCATTTCTCAGGAGCCGCGTTGTTGGATCCTGATGAGTCGACGGACATGGATCTGAAGGAAGAACACCCAGAACTGCCCCTGCTGCCCCAGAGCCCTCGCTGCTCCATCACCATTGCCCTGCTGACCCTTGGGGGACTTATTGTGGTTCTCTCTGGTGTCTGGCTGCTTGGAACTATATTTTGGTTACATAAGCCACCCTCCACAGAACCTCATAGACCCCCTCCACCCGCTGTGGGTAGAAGCCCAAACGGGACGTGGCTGCAGCCAGAGTCCTGCTCGCAGATTCCAGAAGCTTGGAGGTTTGACTGTTATCCAGAGAGAGGTGTGGTGGTCACGGCGGAGATGTGCCATGCTCGAAACTGCTGCTTCATACAGAACTCACAGGCTAAGACATCGGGATGGAATGGAGTGCCCTGGTGTTTCTACACACCTGAATATCCATCCTATGAGCTGGTGTCCATTACTGACACTGAGATCGGGAAGGTTGGAAAACTGCTCCGGAACAAAAAAACATATTATCCTAAAGACATAGATGCACTGCAGCTGGAGGTGCTGTATGAGGACAACAGACTGCATGTGAAGGTGAGAGCACTTTTGGTCTTCATATTCCTGGCTGGTTATGCTCGCGATCTCTATTTATCAAGCAAAATGTTCTCAAAAATTATTTATTCATTACTTTTGACGTTGAAGTCCTAAATACTCATTTTTTTTCTTTTAAAATAAATTTCAGTGGTAAAATTATCTGTTAGCATTCATTTCCGTCACAGACCTCTAGAATTCAATTAAAACTCTGACAGAAAAAAGGGATCAGGCTCAGTATATTGGTAACAGATTAGTTAGCAGCTAATGTTAGAGGTTTTCTTTTTAAATAATATTTATTTAAAATATTAGTATCTGTTGATATTGAATATTTATAGAGTTAAATTAAATAATTTTAATTAAAGGGGTCATATGATGCGATTTCAAGTTTTCCTTTCTCTTTGGAGTGTTACAAGCTGTTCGTGAATAGATAAGATCCCTAAAGTTGCAAAGACTAAAGTCTCAAACCCAAAGAGATATTCTTTATAAAAGTTAAGACTGGTCCACGCACTCCTAAAACGCCTCGTTTAAACACGCCCCCACATGTCTACGTCACGATGTGGGAAGATTTGCATAACGCTGCCCAAATGTTCACGCAAAGAAAGAAGGCATAACTTTATTGTTGCTGCAACCGCCGTCGCCATGTTGTGAAGACTCTGTGTGTTTCGTTGCGAAAGCAAAAATACTTTGTTTGGCCTTCCAAAAGAGGACACGACTAGAAAGTCATTATAATCCGTAATGCAACGCAATGCGTAAAAAGATATTATAAGTCATTATAATCCGTAATTATGTCCCCACTGGATGCAACAAATGCCTCGTTTATAATGGGTTTTATTGGTTTTGTCTCGTCGGTCTGGGACATGGCATCACAGTATGGTAAGGGGCGTAGCATTTCAGTCACACGCTTGAGGCATTCGGCCAATCACAACGCGCTGGATAGCCTTTAATAATTTAAAATGGTTAATTTTTAATAATCTAAAATAACTTTTAATTAATATTTATTGAAATATTTTGAAATATTATTACAATTCAAACGAACTATTTTCTATTTTTGTATTCCTGTATCACATACAGATAACAGACCCGGCTGAAAAGAGGTATGAGGTGCCTATAGATGTTCCTGTGGTTCCGAAAACAGCATCATCAAACCCCTCTTACACTGTAGACTTCATCAAAGAACCTTTTGGGCTGATTGTCAAGAGAACACAAACAGGAACTGTACTGTAAGTACTGTTTATCGTCAGCTATCATGAAAACACAGACCTGTTAAAAAATAAATAAATGAATAAATAAAAATGGCATGATTTAATTTCTTTTACCATTAGAAGTGATGACCAGAAAACTCTTTGTATCAGTATTGAGTTATTAACATCTGTTCATGTGCTGTCAGGCTGAATACATCCATAGCTCCTCTCTTCTACGCGGATCAGTTTCTGCAGATGTCCACATCATTACCATCACGTTTCATATATGGACTGGGTGAACATCGCTCCAACTTTCTGCATGACCTCCAGTGGAACACTCTCACCATGTGGGCTCGAGATGTCCCACCCATGGTAACTTGACATCTGTCTTCTGACATAAGAATCTGTCAGATCTGTTTCAAATCTAATAACAAGCCTTAAAGGAATAGTTCATCCAAAAATTATTTATTATAATTTTTTTTTCTGAAAATGTGCTCATCCTCAGGCCATCTAACATAGAAGTGTTTGTTATTTCATTTGAACAGATTTAGAGAAATTTAACATTTCATGACTTGCTCACCAATGGATCCTCTGCAGTGAATGGGTGCCGTCAGAATGAGAGTCCAAACAGCTGATAAAAACATCACAATAATCCACAAGTAATCCACATGACTCCAGACCGTCAATTAATGTCTTGTGAAGTGAAAAGCTGCTTGTTTGTTAGAAACAAAACAACAAAAAGATTATTTTAACTTCAAACCATCGCTTCTGGCCAAAATACAAGTCCATAATCCATTATAATGCATCCTCCTGGGAAAAAGTCCATCCCCTGTTGTCCTCTCACATCAAAATCCAGCTACATAGTTGTTTAGAAATGTTTTGGACTGTTTTTGCTTGTAAACGGTGCTTGGCCTGTGTATATTTCTCTCCTGATTCAGAAAGATTACTTTTTTTCACTGTAGAAAGCAACATTATGGATAGGGGACTTGTATTTGAGCCGGAAACAAGGGATTTGAAGTAAAAAATCCTTAATGATGGATTAAAAACAAACATGCAGCTTTTCAATTCACAAGACACTAATAGATGGACTGCAGTCGTGTGGATTGCTTGTGGATTATTTTTATGTTTTTATCAGCTGTTTGGACTCTCATTCTGACGGCACCCATTTACTGCAGAGGATCCATTGGTGACCATATTACATTGTACATTATAACTTGACCCCTTTAAAAGCACTTCAAGCATAATTCCAGATTAATAAATGTTCCAGATCGCACTAACTGTTCTGCGTTTCTTGATTGTCGGTGCTTTCAGGAGCTGACCAACCTCTATGGCGTCCATCCCTTTTATCTTTCCATGGAATCTGATGGAATGGCACATGGGTTTTTCATGCTCAACAGCAATGCAATGGGTAAGCTCACACACATGCACACGTGATTCTAAATTGACATTGAGGTGAATGTTGAAGCACTAAGATTGTTGGAGTACTTTTTAGAAGAATATACTATTTCAGTCTTTCTACTTCAAAATGTTGTTTATTTAATGTGTTACTTACCATTCTTTGTAATTAATTATGATTTTTTTTTAGGTGAAAATTGTTTTTACATTTTTTTAATGTACCATATTTGTAAATCATTTATGCATGGTACTTCATGGCATTACAGTGGTGCATGTCTGAAAAAATGCTATTAAAATGCTAAATATGGTATTAAACAATGGTAATGCCTTCTCACGCTTTTGTAAGTATATGCTGTCTGAACTTAGTAATAACTTGTGTAAATAATCTTTGTAGATGTGGCTCTGCAGCCTGCTCCTGCTCTCACCTGGCGTATGATTGGTGGGATCCTTGACTTTTACGTTTTCCTAGGCCCGGATCCCAGCTCTGTGATTGCACAGTACTTGGATGTTGTAGGTCAGCAAGCATCATGAGCAGTATTTGATAAGTATTTTTGGCATGAGATTCATGAACTAATCATTGTATCTTTTCTTTTTCACAGGGAAGCCTGCAATGCCCATCTACTGGGCTCTGGGCTATCATCTCTGCCGATGGGGCTACAAGTCAAGCGACAAAACATGGAATGTTGTAAAAGAAATGCGTAATTATGGGATACCTCAGGTACTGTAGTTGTTTGATTGGTTGGAATTTTAACTCTTCTGCTGTAGCCCACCAGATTTACACTTTCGACAGACATCAAGAAAAATGATGAAATTATTTCAGCACGGAAAATAAAACAAAAAAATGTAGCCTATAACTTTACAGTCTGTCTCCATCAGTATTGTTACTGTTAACTAAAACTATTAAATTGTTTTGTTTTCAGTAATTGAAATAAAGCTTAAATAAAATATTAATATATTATTTAAAAAATAAACTTAAAAAAAATGCAAATGTTTGCTTGGCTACTAACTGAAAAAAATAAGTTGAAGTAATAAAAAAAACTGAAATAAAAATACATTAAAGCTATATACACGCATATATGACTTGTGACAAAAGCACATACAATTATTAAAATTGAAACTAAAATTAAAAAGAAAAAAAAAATCTCATTAAAAAATATACATACTGTAATAGTAAATAAATAATAGTAATATAAAACTGGTCTCTATCAGCGATGCTAGTTTACCCCCAAAGCAAACACTGAGCATCATCTCATTTTGTGATGAACCGCAGAAAAACACTGACTTGACATTATGCATTTAGCATAAGGAATAGAAATGTTTGCACTAATTGCAAATTGTACAAATAGCAAACTGATTTTTTTTTTCTATCTTTCAGGATGTTCAGTGGAATGACATTGACTACATGGATAGTGCTTTAGATTTCACTTATGACACTATGAACTTTTCCACCCTTCCTGACCTTGTGAAAGACCTTCATAAACATGATCAACACTACGTTATGATCCTGGTACACACACACTTTGACACAATTACACAAGAATAATTTGTGAAATTAATGAACTACACCTGTAGTTACTCTTCTAGAACAACTAAATGGTCTTGAAAGGTAACTGACTTCATACATCCACTAATAATCACCTTGACACCAGTCGGTTGTCATTGCTCCAAAAAATTTCAGAAAACTGAAGTTAGTTTCACGCTCAAATGATAGCTCTTGCATCTTTTGTTAGAAGATGCCAGTTGGTTTAATATGTGATGACATTCATTCATGTTCACTGTGGCCTAAATAATTTTTGGAGACTGTCAATAGATTTGTTTATAAATTAAAAATCAAAATGAGAGGAACTCCTGTGTTCTGTGGGTTTATAAAATATGCTTCTCCTGCAAAATATCCATTTGACACACTTCCTCTTTTGGCTCTCGTCTCTTTTGTGGAGCAGTAGAATCACACTGACAGTCATGAGGCCGATTTGGCAACTGAATGTTTCACATGACTGCAGTTGAAACCCTCACTAAAGCGTTTGGATGTGTCACTGTGGATTTAGCTGAAGTGTGCTTGATGTAAACTGCAGCTTGTGTGTTTGTCTCTTTTGCGCTTCCTCATCAGGATCCCGGAATCAGTAACTCTCTGCCGTCTGGCTCCTACTGGCCATTTGATGAGGGGAAGAAGAGGGGCATCTTCATCAATGATTCGAATGGAGACATCCTTACCGGGAAGGTACATTGAAGACATATATCATTTTTTTTTTTAAAGAATTGTCTTATGCTTACCAAGACTGCATTTATTTGATCAAAAATACAGTAAATGTAGTAATATTGTAAAATATTATTACAATTTAAAAAATGTTTGTATTTGAATATATTTAAAAATGTAATTTATTTCTGTGATGGAAAGCTGAATTTTCAGCATCATTACTCCAGTCTTCAGTGTCACATGATCCTTCAGAAATCATTCTATGATGATTTGATGCTCAAGAAACTTTTCTTATTATTATATGTTGTATCAATAACAAAGTATCACTAACTGTTTTCAACAATGATAATAACGTGTGATTAAAAATAAGTGTTTTTTTTTTTCAGGGTACTTTTATGAATAGATTTTAAAAGAACAGCATTTGTTTAAAATGTAATTTTTTGTAACAAATGTCTTAATTTATTTTCTATCACTTTTAAGCAATTTAATGTGGCCTTGTTAAATAAAAGTATTAATTTGTGAAATTACTATAAATTGTACTGATTGATCATGGCTGACAAGTAAACCGTGGCATCTGCAACCAATAATAAACTTGTGTAATGCTGCAGTAGATGTCGGTATGAAGTCCAAGTCTAGACAAAACTTAAACAGAAGCTTTGTTTATAATTAATTAATATTGAGTTCTTAAAATGATTTTGTGCTTGGCCAATCAAACAATAAAAAAAACTAAATATAAATGTGAATTAAATATAAATATTATAATTATGAATATTATTATAAACATTTTATATGTGTCTGAGGCTTGAGTGCAGGTGTTTGTTTGTTTTTTCTTGTTTTTTTTCTTAGGTCTGGCCAGGACTCACGGCCTTTCCAGATTTCTCCAATCCAGACACACATGAATGGTGGTACCAGAATCTGAAGAGTTTCCATGAAAAAGTGCCTTTTGATGGCGTGTGGATTGTATGTTGTGCATTTGCATCGTTGCCTATTTGATGGTTATTATTTGCATCTACCCAAGCATTGATCATGTTCTCTTCTTTATATCTCTTCCCCAAGGACATGAATGAACCATCTAATTTTTTTGATGGATCACTGAATGGTTGTCCTGAGAATGAACTGGAAAATCCTCCCTACACCCCAGGTATCAGTGTGCTAGCTATTATGTGGAGATCTACATTGTGCATGCTACGTTTATTCCAACAATGAGACATGGTATTGTCTGCTGTAGGGATTCTGGGTGGTACATTAAAGGCTAAGACTGTGTGTGCATCTGCACGTCAGAAAATCTCCACTCACTACAACATACACAGTCTGTATGGACTCATGGAGGCTAAGGCAACTGAAAGGTACACACAGTCATACAAAAATACACACACACACACACACACACAAACATTACTGTTCAAAAGTTTGGGGTCAGTATTTTTTGAATACTTTACATTTACATTTAGACATTTAGCAGACGCTTTTATCCAAAGCGACTTACAAATGAGGGCAATGGAAGCAATCAAAATCAACAAAAGAGCAATGATTGTGTTAATTTTTGTTAATTTTATAATAAATAAAAAGAAAGCAAAGATAGAATACAAAAAGATTAGAGAAGCAAGTGTTAGTTCGTTTTTTTTTTTTTTTTAAACAAGCAGTTAGTAAATAAATAGAGTGCAAGTCTAAAAGGTGCAAGTTTTTATAAATTAAATTAACTTTGAAATTAATACACACCCTGCATTTAATGCACCCGCCCCACACCTACAGAAGTCATTTATTGTTTCATACAGTTGATTGGTGGCACATTATTGTCTGTTTTAGCTACATTTTTAACAAAAATATTACACGGTATAAACGAATGGACTGAATGAAAGACTCAGTGACTTAATCGTTAAGGCATTTACCGCCATCTACCGGCAGTTTAAACATTTATTTCATAATTCTATGTTAATAAAAAACAATTAAATGGATAGTTCACTCAAAATTTTTAATTCTGTCATCGTTTACTCACCAGCATGTCGTTTCAAATCTGTAAGACTTTTTTTGGGGGACATAAAAGAAGATATTTTGAATAATGTTGATAACCAAACACTTTTGGTTTCCATTGGCTGCCATTGTAGCCTAAAGGTTTGTGTAATAAATTCTGTTGAATCAAATAAAATATTTCTTTCTAAAGCTAATTTTGTAATGCCCATTGATGCATTTCTTATTTAACACAATAATGGCTTTAAATTGTATTTTGGGGGGTAATTTCTCAGCCAAATTTGATGTGCGATTTGCAATTAATTAATCACCACATCGTGTAATTAATTAGGTTAAAAAATTTAATCGCTCGACAGCAATTAAATGGCACAAATTATTTCTATTTCAAATTGTTGTTCTGTTTTTATTGCTGTTCTTTTAAACTTTCTGTTCATCAAAGAATTATACAAAAAAATTGTATCAACGTTGCCACAAAAATATTAAGCAGCACAACTGTTTTCAACATTGATAATAATAAATGTTTCTTGAGCATTAAATCAGCATATTAAAATGATTTCTGAATGCTAAAAATTCAACTTTTCCATCACAGGAATAAACTATGTTTTAAAATATAGTAAAACAGAAAACGGTTACTTTCAATTGTAAAAAATATTTCACAATGTTACTCTTTTTCTGTATTTGATCAAAATGCACCTTTTTGAGCATTAGACTTTTCAAAAACATGAAAAATATTTACAGACATGAAACTTTTAAACAGTAATGTACATAAATATCTCTTTTTCAAGTGTCACATATTTGACAACTCGAGCACACTTTTCAAGCAAAATGTTTTACCAAAAAAGTTTATTATGTTTTAAATGATAAACAATAAAAATTGTTTTCAAAATAATGACAAAAAGTCTTTGGACACTTTCTGGTTATCAAATGTTAGTGGATCACATCCATCTGTCTCTCTCAGTGCTTTGAGGAAGATCACAGATAAGCGTCCCTTCGTCATTTCCCGCTCTACGTTTCCCAGTCAGGGCAAGTATTCAGGCCACTGGCTCGGAGACAACAGGAGCCAATGGAAAGACCTGGCCACATCCATACCTGGTATAAATACACACACCTGTGCTCTTCTGAGGTCAGAGTTAGTCCCATAGAGTTTTGTATTTACTACAGCTAAACTTAACACTTTCTTCCTCTTTCCCAGGTATGCTGACATTTAACATCCTGGGCATTCCTCTTATTGGGGCAGACATCTGTGGCTTTGGAGGCAGCACTACAGAAGAACTATGTGTCCGATGGACCCAGCTTGGAGCTTTCTACCCCTTTTCAAGAAATCACAACTCCATAGATGAACAGGAGAACTTTCTTCCATCTGTCCTAAACACTCTAACTATAGCTGGTCAGTAACATTTTTTAGCTCTTAATGCTGAAATATGTGCTGCTTTAGTGTGTACGTACATACAATAATAGTTTTGTGAGCTCTGGTGGAGAAGAACATTTTCAGCAAATAATATACACACACATACTGTATATAAAATATATTTATATTATAATGTAACGATAGAGCTCTAATTATAAGGCAAACTTAGATGACATTAACTTTTTGGTAACATTTGCGCATATGCATGTGTGTATGCCATCTGATCACTTCTATTTGTGTCCATTTGTTTGTGTTTCAGAGACCTAACACCACCCTGTGGGTGAGCAGCGGTCAGCCCCTTAATCTGATTGTGAGTCTGAGTGAGGACGGCCTGGCCAAGGGTGATTTGTATTGGGATGATGGAGAGACCCTTGACACTTATGAGAAAGATCAATATGCTTACATCTATTTCACAGTAGAACAGGTACAGAAAATGCACAATTCACCTTCACTGCAGTAAACCAGCAGGCTTTAATTTTTAAAGGGGACATCAGATGCCCCAGATCAGTTGCTGTGATTCTTTAGGGTCTTCATGAAATGTCTGCAGCATACTTTGATTAAAATTCCTCAATAGTCGTGTAAAACAACACCCTTTTTACCTTGTCAAAAACAGCGGGGTGATCGCAGCGATCCATTTCGGTGCATGTCTCTTTAAATGATAATGAGCTCTGCTCACCCTGCCCCTCTCTTCTATTTTTTGTGTATTCGGTGGTACCTGGTATAAATACACACACCTGTGCTCTTCTGAGGTCAGAGTTAGTCCCATAGAGTTTTGTATTTACTACAGCTAAACTTAACACTTTCTTCCTCTTTCCCAGGTATGCTGACATTTAACATCCTGGGCATTCCTCTTATTGGGGCAGACATCTGTGGCTTTGGAGGCAGCACTACAGAAGAACTATGTGTCCGATGGACCCAGCTTGGAGCTTTCTACCCCTTTTCAAGAAATCACAACTCCATAGATGAACAGGTGAACTTTCTTCCATCTGTCCTAAACACTCTAACTATAGCTGGTCAGTAACATTTTTTAGCTCTTAATGCTGAAATATGTGCTGCTTTAGAGCCTCTGCGTTTTTTTGTTTAAAATCTGATTAGTATCCCATCTCTCAGTTGTTTTGGTAGTACAATATTATGTTTTAATAAAAATATTTGTATGTTTGTGTGTGTGTGTGTGTGTTTATTTATCTGATTAGTATCCCATCTGTCAGTTGTTTTGGTAGTACAATATTATGTTTTTATAAAAAAAATTTGTGTGTGTTTTAAAGACACTTTTCTGGATTAACAGTTTTGTCATTTCACAACAGGATCAGGAACCAACTGCATTTAGTCCTGCAGCTCGAATAGCAATGAAAGAAGTCATCCTCCTGCGTTATTCCCTATTCCCGCATCTCTACACACTCTTCCATCATGCACACATCAGTGGACACACGGTTGCCACACCACTGCTCTTCCAGTAAGATAAACACGAAACCTGACTGTATGTGAATTACATTTTTAAAGGAATCATTTACTTCCAACCTTGAATGTGTAATCTAGTAGCATCTGATGCCAGAATTATATATATATATATATATATATATATATATATATATATATATATATACATGTGTACGTACATACAATAATAGTTTTGTGAGCTCTGGTGGAGAAGAACATTTTCAGCAAATAATATACACACACATACTGTATATAAAATATATTTATATTATAATGTAACGATAGAGCTCTAATTATAAGGCAAACTTAGATGACATTAACTTTTTGGTAACATTTGCGCATATGCATGTGTGTATGCCATCTGATCACTTCTATTTGTGTCCATTTGTTTGTGTTTCAGAGACCTAACACCACCCTGTGGGTGAGCAGCGGTCAGCCCCTTAATCTGATTGTGAGTCTGAGTGAGGACGGCCTGGCCAAGGGTGATTTGTATTGGGATGATGGAGAGACCCTTGACACTTATGAGAAAGATCAATATGCTTACATCTATTTCACAGTAGAACAGGTACAGAAAATGCACAATTCACCTTCACTGCAGTAAACCAGCAGGCTTTAATTTTTAAAGGGGACATCAGATGCCCCAGATCAGTTGCTGTGATTCTTTAGGGTCTTCATGAAATGTCTGCAGCATACTTTGATTAAAATTCCTCAATAGTCGTGTAAAACAACACCCTTTTTACCTTGTCAAAAACAGCGGGGTGATCGCAGCGATCCATTTCGGTGCATGTCTCTTTAAATGATAATGAGCTCTGCTCACCCTGCCCCTCTCTTCTGTTTTTTGTGTATTCGGTGGTACGTTACCATCAAAAATAAAAAGAATCCACTGCGTCCTCAGAGGCTCTGATGTCGGGAGAAAATGAAGACTTTTATGTTCATTTTTACATCCAAATACAAAACATCTGCATTGCTTACGAGATGTTGTCGCTACAGCTGCTCGAGCGTGGAGAAAATGGAGGACAGCGTACAACTGGCTGAGGGCAGAATTATGCTAATACGGGACAGTCCATCAGTCGTGGGCAGGGCCTGAGCAGTATGACGTCATCCTGCACAGAAAATCAAAACAGCTTGATAATTGACACTGTTTAGGTTTTTTGGGAATTAAAAAAAAGAGTGAATGGATTTTTATCATTGCAGCGTGGTTTTGTCCACACACTGCTAAGACACATTTACATGCAAACACCATGTAAAAGTGAATTTTGCATCTGATGTCCCCTTTAATAAGCATTCATTTGAATCTTATACTATGGACATGATATAAAAGGATATTTATATACCTGTTTTACATCACCTCTGTTAAATTTTTTCATCAGTTATTCAGATTATACCCATTTCTATCCTGAGGTATTTTATTAAATGCATCACTTGCTTGTTCTTAAATGTTTCTCTAAATGATCATGCCAATTACTTTGCATAATTTGCATCTCTGGTACGATTTCCACACCGTAAGTCACATCTCTCTAGAAACCCTCTTAGAAACTCAAAATTATCTTACTTTGGAGTCTCATACAATATTCATATTTGTTTGTATCACATACAGGGTGACTCATTGGTAAGCCGTGGAGAAGAAACCCTTTAATAAGCATTCATTTGAATCTTATACTATGGACATGATATAAAAGGATATTTATATACCTGTTTTACATCACCTCTGTTAAATTTTTTCATCAGTTATTCAGATTATACCCATTTCTATCCTGAGGTATTTTATTAAATGCATCACTTGCTTGTTCTTAAATGTTTCTCTAAATGATCATGCCAATTACTTTGCATAATTTGCATTAGTTATTACCCTGCCTGATATCAGGGATGGTGATTATAATGATCTTCTTTATTAATGATCTCCAGAATACGATGACATCAGAGGTGCTGCATAATCATGAAGAGGCTGCTTACATCACAGTGGAGACCGTTTCCTTTTATGGGGTGAAGGTGGAGCCAGAAAACGTAACCGTGAATTCACAAGAGGCGGCGTTCACTTACCATGACAATCAGGTAATATACTTCAATATTGTTTTAGGAAGCTACTGGTTACAAATCAGTGATGATTTTGTACATTTTGTTATCAGGTGAATTTTGAACTGTTCCCAGTAAGTTAGAAGGATAAAAATGTTCATTCGCAGTCCTCTGATACTTCACAAGCTTTCGGTTAGCAGTGGTATCAGTCATGATATTTTTAAATAAAAATAAAAAAATAGCTAAAAACAGTAATGCAAGTACAAAAAAAAATACTTCAATTCATGCAAAATGAGCGTGAAAGAAATTTTTTTATTGTCTTATGCCCGTCTAGGTGCTGACAGTAACAGACTTGGGTCTGAACCTCAGTCGTAACTTCACAATCAATTGGATGTAAATGCGAAAGTCATCAGTGCTATTTCAAAATTGTAAGTTGCTGCAGAAATCAAATTATTTTTATCTCAGTACGTGGACAGTGGTGGTTCTGATTCCAACCTGAAATCAAATATCAACCAGAAAGGATATGACAGATTATTAATTGTATGTTGAATGTCTGTATTATTGACCCAGTGGTGGTCAGTTGCACTCAGAGGGAGCAAAACCGAAGGGAAGAATTGTGTTTTTTGATTAAATGTATTTGTTTGATCTGTTATTGGGTAGATGTATATTTTTTTTACCTCTGCTGTTATATTACTGCCTGTTATTGCTGATATTGTTTCTAGAGCAGAAAGATTCTTCTGACACTCTTTTAAACCTTTTAGTGGTGAACAAAGCTTCTCATCTTAAAGTACACTATGGTTTACATTATGCCATGCCATCAAAAAGGAGGCAAGTTCAAGTTGATTTTGAGAATCTTAAAGCAAACATTTTTGTAGTGATGCAGTGAACCATCAGATCCTGCTGAACTCATAAACTTTCAGATTCTTCCAAATTAAGTTGATCAATATTATTTTGATTTGCATGTGTATATATTGTTTACCAGCGTGTTTGCACAGTTCGGGGCATTCTGATGCTGCAGGAATGCATGTTTGAGCTTTAGTTAGCAACCGTTATTTCCATGTACTGACAGGCTTGTAATTAAAATGATCGAATATGTTTAGCCAATCCAAATGTGATAGAAATAGTTTTTGTTCTCATGAATTATTTGTTTTAAAGGTGGGGTAAGCGATTTCTGGTAGCCAATGTTGACATTTGAAATCACCAAAACAAACACGCCCCTATTTTGATAGCTCCACCCCACACATACGTACGCAACCCAGGCAACGATTAGTTCTATGAAACAAAGCAAAACCAATGTTACACCGTGTCTACACCGGACGCGAGTGGCGTGGCGCGACAAAATACTATGGAACTAGTTATAATCAGTGATGCTGTCTACACCATATATATATATATATATATATATATATATACATATATATGGT